CTTTAGGAACCACTTCTTGCAAGCTTTGCAACCAACCTTGAACCTCTTTCCGGATTCCTTCTTCCCGGATTCCTTCATGAACGTCTCGAAGACGTGGCTGAAGGCGCCGTGGCCGAGGTCGTGGCAGAGGCCCGCGATCTGAACACACAAAACGTCCGCCTCAGTTATTCCGAGTTCCTCCTGGCGGCTTCGAAGGGCATTCACCATCTTCCCCGCCAGATAACATGTCCTGCGCAAAGTTCCCATTATTTAGATTACATGTCACCATATTTTTTCATCATGTTTTTTTAACATGGGAACAGGTAATCTTTGTAAACTTTGTGATGTAACTATGGACAATATCCTTGAGCCCTTCACTCAGTCAAACTTGAAGGAAGAGAAAGAAAGAGAGGAAAACAGTAAGCTAATCAGAATTTTCTTGTTACAAATGATAATTTTGTTAAGTGTGGTGGTAATCGTAACATTCACTCTTTTCATCATTCTCACTGGTGGTATCACTACCTCTGCGAATCACAGTCACCAGAACTAGGGTTTGCATTTTCAAAATCCACTTCCTCATTAATGCCTCTATCAGATATATGTTTCCGGAGTTTGTTTGATGGGAAAGAGAGAGAGAGAGAGAGAGAGAGAGAGAGAGAGAGAGAGAGGAGGGAGAGAGAGACAGTTATAAACTACCTATCAAAAGTTCCAGACATATGTAAAATAAGTATTAAGAGTCAGGTGATTTGGTTTGGAATTGGAGCTGCCAGGTTTTTCCTTTTCTGAGATTAGACGCCCTATTAAAGAAAACGGTTTCACCGACGACCTACTTTGCCTGTCGATATGAACGCGCAACGGAGGTAAACAAAACAAACAATAATACACATACCACGAATACGATGTAAAAGAGAGAAAAAGCTAAGACTAGGCGAATGAATTTAATTTTAAACTAATGGTATCTCAATTTATTTATTGACTGCACTATTCCTTAACACACGTATACACACTTGTACACACACATACACATATCCACTTAAAAACACTCATGCATGTGTGTGTGTGATTAAGCACTTGTGCAGCCATATATGTGTAAATACATCAAATAGATTTGTATTACAGTAGGCATGGTATGTGTTCTAGCCATACGTGCCAATTGGGTTAGGTGTACCAACCAAATTGGTTTACAAGACGGAGTTCAAACTCACCCGAGACAGTGTTCGAAGCGGTTGTGAGATGCCGCAGGATACACGAAAGAGGTCGTACCTAGCTGCTTCAGAAACCTGAAATGATAAAGCAATGTATAATTGTCCTTTAACTGCTGAAGGTGTGTTAACAGGCACACACAAAATCAGCGGGACCTCCACAGGTTTTAACAGGTAAACAGCAATTACATTTCTTATTCGACTTACATACCTGAGTCTCTGAAACTGCGGCGTGTCAATGATTCGGACACAGAGGGCAGGTAATTTAATGTGTCCATGAATAGCATCTTTGATGATCTTTCTCCCGCCCTGAAAGACGAATTTACACTATTATATTCCAACACTGATTAGTTACCCAAGTGACGTCTTCTTTTTCTAGCAAATGGTTGAAAGTAGAAAAAAACGGATGGTTCTAAGAAAATAAAGAAGAAAGAAGAAAAATAAATAAATGAACTCGCATGAAAGCAGATACAAAACTCAAGAATAAGAGTTTCGAATATATGAAAGAAAAAAAAATACCATGTTTCGAAGTGTCCTGCTTGACGGATCAGAGATGTTTACTAAAGCTATGGTTTCCTAGAAAAAGCGGTGCCGCTATATACGTCCGTACAACATACGTTGTGCGGCGAACGTAACCGTAAACGGCCGCTCAAGGAGGGTAAAGTTAGAACTGTGTTGTGATTGATTACGTTGAGATCAAGCGTGAAAAAGTATTTATATATATAATTATATATATATATATATATTCTATCATTATAATCATTATAGGAGTATCTATATCATATAAGAGTATTATATATATAATACTATATAATATCTATAAGAGTATATATACATATATATACTCTTTACTTTGACATGGTACAGGGGCTCATTATTTCTCACAAAATGCTAGTACTATTTCATCTTTCTTCGCCGCTCAACATTGTTATTATGAAACCGATTCCAATTTCA